TTAATAAACTAAAAAAAAAAAACTAAACTAAAAATGTGCTAGTTTTGTATCCATTTGGAAACTACTTTTGGATTTATTGCTCACAAAGGATAGAAACTCTGATTTGCAAATTTGATGACTAGATCTGTTTTGATTATAGAAATATCCTGTAATGTTATTGCTTTAGTTTCTTCTGCATGTTCTACATGTTCTGCCTTTAATTTTTGTTGAAACTTAATTTAAGAGGCAAAGTTATTATACATCTGTACCTGCACTGAAGAAAGTTAGAACTTACACTTTTTCTATATCTTTTTTATATTTCTTTTCTTTTCTTGTTACACCTTTAATTTTCTCTCTCTTGCCTTTCTCCCCCATTATTTTGTATTTTATTCATTTTGGAAATTTCATAAAGATATATTTTTAAAAATGCAATGTGTCTTGACATACCTATCCATATCAGTCTTGTCTAATCTGTTAATTTTAAATATATTTTTGCTGCTGTCTGATAGTTGTCAAGATGCATTAGATCTAATTCAGCTCCTGTTATCCATCAGCTCTTATTAATTTTAGGAGACATGATCAACATATGCAAAGACTCCACAGGGAGATTGCAATACACGTAAATAAGACAGTTCTATATGATTGCTCCACAGATCACATAGTTGAAATTATACTGAAAGGCAGTTATTTGCAAGTGTGAAATTTCTGAAAACGTTGAGTATTTTTCTAAGTCTGAATTCTTTTTCTGTTGGGAGAAAGAGTGCTCTTAAAAAAAAAGCCTGCATTTTTTTTTTTCATCCAGTGCTTTCAAAGAACCTTCCTTTTTATCTTATTAATGCTTGTCAGACTAGCATTGTCCCCACATAGCAGATGAGCAATTGAAAATGAGAGAGAATAAAAGATTGCCTATCTGTACAAAAATGAACAGGTTGCTGAAATGTATGGAAGGGTCAGAGCTCAGTAGACGCATACAGGAATATGTTTGGTAGAAAGTTAAATAGCAAAGCTGTAAAAGAATGGAGGCCTACTGAGAATACAGACTATGCCCATGAATAATCTGACAAGCTATAAGGCAGTTTTGTATGTTCTTATCCATGTACTTTTTGGATTAGTTAGAGTACACTTTCCTACAATTCTTATTGTAGACATGCCTTTGGAAGCTCCACTAAAACAACAGGTCTCTTGGGCTAGATGTTTCTGTCTCTGATCACTGAGTCTGAATTTAAAATAAATCTTGGGGCAACACTTTCTTCATGAGACTGCAATGTCTACATCGTGAGCTAGCTGTACAAACACCAAGCTAATTATTTACTGTTTTTATAAGACTACCCAGAAGTAAGTTTCAGTAAGGTGTTTCCTATTAAATACCTTTATGACATGGATCCAGGCTAGGGGTGGGTTCCGGCTGCTGCTACTGCTGGTTCGCTCAGGGACACGCCTCATGCACTTGATGCGTGCTATGCGTGCATGCACAGTACTAAAAAATGCTTCTGTGCATGCGCAGAAACCAAAAACAAGATTGCAGCACCTATGGCACCACCAAGAGAACCAGTTCAGGGGCATGGCAGGCTGAGTTACTACCTACTCGGTTGAACCGGTCCAAATCGGTAGGAACCCACCTCTGATCCAGACTACTTGAAGAACCATCTCACTCCAATGGGATGCTCCCGCTCCACTCAGTCCAGCAGAAGAGACATTTTGCGGGTCCCATAAACCGAGGAACTGCAGCTGGCAGGGTCCAGGGAAAGAGCCCTTTCTGCTGAGGTTCCTGTCCTCTGGAACATTGTGCTCCGAGGTAAAATCTGCCCTCATTCTTTTTGTCTTCTGAAAGGGCCTGAAAATGTCAGTTGGTCTTACCTGAACTGCATGTCTTGAAGCTGGTGTGGGAGGAGTCACATGTGGTATTAATATGGCCCATTTGCCCGGAGACTGATTTTGGCCTAATTTTGGGGCCACTCCCTCTACTTCCTCCTCCTGGATCCCCAGATTAAGCAATGGTCCAGTCCAAGAAGAGCCAGGGAAGGAAGGGATCAGGAAAACAGATAGCAACTCCATCCCCCAGGCCTGACTAACCAACAACTAACTCTCTCAGGCCCCCATGCGTAGGGGCTCACAAAATGAGCGGAAAGTGACTCCTCCCAAGCCAGCTTCGAGACATGCAGTTCAGGTAAGACCAACTGACAGTCTCCAAAGCAAGACATGGGAGGAGTCACATGTGGGACATACCAAAGCTAGATGTCCATGGGAGGGAATCAATGGGCCTGAACCCCCAAGTGTCTAGCACTCCTTGGAGAACCCTCCTACCAAAAAGAAGGCAGCTGTTCATTTGAGGTAAATACACAGTGCCCTACGTTCGTCCAAACTATGCCAGGACCTTTCCCTTTCCCTGGAAGGTGCTGGACAGAAATCCAGGAGCACCACCTCCTGCCCCCTATGGAAGGGGGTGTTGACCTTGGGTAGGAAAGCCGGGTCTAGCCTGAGCACAACCCTGTTGTCATGGAAAGTGCACAGATCCGCCCTGGTGGATAAGGCATTGATCTCAGACACCCACCTAGCTGTGGTGATGGCTACCAGGAAGACCACCTTGAGAGTTAGGAGTTGGAGAGTTATCTCCCTTAGAGACTTGAAAGGTGCCTCCGTAAGGGCCTGGAGCACTGTGAGAAGGTCCCAGGTGGGAAAGTGATGGATCACTGGGGGCTGAAGATTAGCAGCCGCTCTGAGGAACCTCTTTATGACCGGGTGTTGGGATAAGGTCTAGCACCCCCCCAATGACCGTGGCCAATCTAGAGGCCTGAAATTGATGCTGCATGCCCCAATGAGATGCCCTGAGCAATGGCACGGGCAAACACATTCTGAAAACTTTCAGAAAGCTCTGGATAAGCTGGAGTGAGGCTAGGAGGCTCTGATTCAAGTCTAGAATCTGCAGATTGAGGAGCCAAGTGTGGCCTGGTGGAACCAGCTGCAATGCAGCCAAAGGCGTCTTCCCGGTGTCCTGAAGACTGGGCAGGAGACAGAGGAGGGGATAGGGGGCTAGCCTCCCTCGCAGAGCCACAGGGGGAACCTGGAGAATCTAGTTGGACCTCTGGCAAAAGGCTTGAAAGGAGAGAGTGACCTGGATGGGGAAGGGCTGATTTCCTCCCTAATCCTCCTTCTCTAGTAATGCAGGGCTCTCTTTCTAGTCGATTTAGAGGTGGCCTTCTTCGAGGTAGTTCTCCCCCTCATTACAGGGGTAGCTCCATGGGAGGTCCCCTTGCCCAGATCTGAATCCCCTGGAGATCTAGGGGCAGCCGCCCGGCGCTCCTCATAGCCTCTGCCATCGCCTCTACTTACAGTCGCTTCCTTCCCACCTCCTCTCACTCTGCCAACCAGCCTGGGCTTCTGCGTGCGGTCTGGAGCTCCTTCAGACTGGCGCTATTCGTAGCCATGCCACCAATCTGTGGCATGAGGAAGCTGGCCTACCGCCAAACCGAAGGGGCCCTCCCTGGATCACCAGCGGAGCACAAGCCTGAAGAAATCCTCTTCTAATCCTGGCAGTGGTTCTGGGTGCTTGCAGTGGCTGAAATCAAGCGTGCCGACTTCTGCACTCCACCACGTGCGTCCCAAGATGACCACCACGCGGCCCAATGCCGAGTCAGCTCTGACTGAGCCGCTCCTTCAGGAGCCTCTGGAGTGATCTGCGATCCCCTCTGATGGTCTAGAGGTTACACTATACAGCACTCTCTGGCAAGCAGCCTGGAGCCTCCCCTTTAACCGCCCAATGGCTTGGGGACTCCCCTATAGTGCAGCAAGTCCAGCTTGTGCGAAGGAAAAATGGTAAACAGCACAGAGACACAAGGGAGAGAGGTGGGAGGAATCACAAGTGGAAAAAACCTGAAGGACGAAATTTAAAGCAACAAAACCTGTGAAGCCAAATAGAGAACCAGAAAAGTACTCCTTCTGGGCTGAAGACTGAGGTTAATCTGGAGTCATGAGGAGGAAGTAGAGGATGTGGCCTCAAAATTACCCTAGTCTCTGGCAAATGGGCCATGTTAATACCACATGTGACTCCTCCCACGCCTCGCTTCGGAGATCCTGACTCCGTCAACTTCCCATTCTGAAGGTGGCTAGTAGATTAGATAAGATCCTACTTTCATTCTCTTTACAGACTGTTCTTTTATCTATTTTGCTGTTAATGTTAATGTTTTAATTTAATGTTTAATGTTTTAATGTTTCTAACTTTTCAGTTATCATATTGTTGCTGTAAACCACCCAGAGTTGCTTGATAGTGAGATGAGAGACATATATATTTAATAAATAATGAGCTCTAATATGGATCACTCTAAAATAACTGAGCACAGAATGCACCTGCAGCTTTTAATACTAGCCCAATAGAAGGAAAAATGTATAATGTACAAATATCCCTAATAAAATATATTCACCAAATGGAATTGCTACACTCCACACATATAAGTTACATTGTTTTATGGGATAGAGGATACTTCAATGGAGATGTCTCTAAGTCCACAAAACTGGGCAACATATTCAGATAATAACAAGCTTGCCTGAAAGCATCAGGAACACTTTAATTACTCTGAAGTCTAGGTTGTGACATAAACATTGATCTGTTTTTTGGACAAAGGAAACAAGTAGAAGGTGAGCTGTTTATAAATTCCCTATCATACAGCAACTCCCACCATTATTTTTGTTGACAGTTCTCTTAAACAACTATTTTTCACCATGATCTGTAAAACTATTTGATTAGCCTTATAGAATCAAAAATTACCTCTAAAAGTTCATCTCCAATATGCATTCTTCCATCTTTTCCTGCAGGACCATCTGGACTAATCCCCACAACAAAAATGCTCATGAGGGACCTATCTTTGTTGCCTGCAAGGCTGAGTCCAAGTCCATTCTTATCTTTTTCAAGTTCAATAATGTGCAATTCTCCAGGAAGTTCTGCATATCTTTGTCTGATTTTCTCTAAAAAGAGAGAGAGAGAGAGAGAGAAATATATAGTACGAATAGGAAAGCATAATCTATGTATGCAACATAACCAGTTTGTCATATTTACTCAAAGAAGGGTATCCTATGCAGAATCCTGCCTAATTTAATCCATCTCTTTTGGAAGGTTATCTCACTGTTTTGGGTGATAACTCAATTGGAAAGATACAAAAAAATGAAAGAAAATGAATAAAAATGTCATTCTCTAGGTATCAGTTCAACCATAGTTAAATAGGCACTATTGTTATTGAAGAAAGAAAAATTCCAGGGGGGTAGAAGAAATGCCAAAACAATTTTAGGGAAACAAATTGAAAAGCAAGGGAAGTGTGGAATGCAAGAAGATATCAAAGAGAAGGCAACCCACTTAGCAACCATAGAAAGCTAAGCTCTAAGACAGAGGGAGAGAAACAGTTTAAAAGATGACAAGATTGCTTGGCTGCAACTTGAACAGGGACTTTCATACCATGGCATCTAACTACTTTTAAGCAACCTGAATTTCTGCCAAGTTTTGCTTGGATGGAGCATCATTGAATGTTCAGAATAAGCAATATACAGTATTAATTTAAAGAATGACACAAGACCACAAAATCATGCTGATTATTTTATCAGTGTCTGTCATGACATCATCGGAGAAATGACTCCTCAGAGGAAGGAAACAGCTCCAGTAAATTGACTGAGCCACAAGCCAGGTCTTAACAGAATATCTGGACCAGAATTAGTCCCATTAAATCAGGCCTTCTATCTCATGAAGCCTATGTAAGATAAGATAAGATAAGATAAGATAAGATAAGATAACTTTTATTGTCACTGTTTTGTTTGCACAATGACTCACATTAAAATAAAATTCCAATGCCCACTCTCCAAAGAAGAAATTATATATATTTAATCCATTATTAAAAAGGCACAATAAAGAGTGTTCTTACTGAATCAAGTCAGAAAGTTCAGATTGCCTAAGGAGCTGCTGATACAGTTCTACAGAGGAATTATTTAGTCTGTCATTTGTGTCTCAATAACTGTCTGGTTTGGCACAGCAACTAAACAGGACAGGTAGATACTTCAATTGATAGTTAGGATTGCAGGAAAAAAAAAAACAATTGCAACCAGCCTGCCTTCCACTGAGGATTTGTACACTGCACGAATCAGAAAGAGGGCTGAGAAAATATTTACAGACCTCTCACATCCTGGACATAATCTATTTCAACTGCTCCCCTCAGGACACTGCTATAGAGACAAAACAAATGGACATTAAGATATTTTTTCCCCTGTGCTATCACTTGGCTGGACACTTAATTCCCACAGCACTGTCTCATTTCTCATCTTTTCTCATCTATCCTATTATCTTCCCCTATTGATTTCTTATGATTATTTTTTTATCAATTGTTTGTATCTTATGATTAATTATTGTGATTAATAAATCATTATTAATGATTTATGACTTATGACCTATTACTTGCTGTTTATATGTACACTGAGTTTATGCACCAGAGACAAATTTCTTGTCCGTCCATTCATACTTGGTCAATAAAGAATTCCTGTTCTGTTCTATTCCAATTTATCTACTCTACTCTACTCTACTCTACTCTACTCTA